ACCCAGTTTAATGCTATGCTGGCATTCTATTTAACCTCTGAGGGACACGAAGTAGCACATGGTCAAAGAAAGGCTGCTATTCTGAAGAAGATTAAAGATTCCAAGATAGCTACAAAGCTATCCAACGTGTTCGGAGCATTTGACGTCACGCAAAAAAAGATGTTTCAAAAGCAGGTTTGGCCCTGCTGGTTATGTTGTATGGGGGAAAAAAATGAAACCTTGAACACATTGCAATATACAATATATATATATATATGAGAATGTCAGCTGTTGACTTCAAAACTTCTTCCTGAAAAATTGCCTCCGACAGAGCGTGCAGCTCGTTTCTATTTATATGTGCAGAAATAGGTGGTAGTATGGTCTAAAATGTAAAATGGGTACATTATAATATACACATTGAAGTCCGAGAACAAAATGTTTAAGCGTTGCACTTGTATTACAAACCATATCATGGCTAAAAATCAAAATTATCAAGTCAAATATTTATGGATGAATTAAAAAATAATTGTCATCATACAGTGATATGTACATATATCATGTTCACTGTTTTCTTCTTCAAATAAGTCTAACTCCACAGCATTCCTACAACTGGTACCATGACATCCTGCACAGGCTGAAACACACTTCAGTCCATTTTTACACATGAGCATGCATTTGACCAACAAAGATTTCGTGAAGATTTACATTTGCAGCGAATCATATTCAGGATAACCTGTGTTCCTGTTTCCAAGTCAGATTGCACCAGTATCAATTTCTTTCCTTCTAGTTTCCATTCCCATTGTGTTAAGTTAATATAATGTGATCAGAATTTTCCATAGTATTACTTTAAGATGTACCTGAGACATTATACGAATACTTATGAAATAATTTCCATATTATATCTACATGGCTGTCCCTAACATGAAAATATTTAGTTGAAATTCATGGGTAGCATGCTATCAAATTCTGAATGTTTATATTGTTAATTAAGTAATATAAGCTTAATAACTGAATATCAATGAGTTCATTTGCATATGCCTATACCATTGGCGTCATATTGATGATGTAAAATAATTTTCATTCATCTTGGTGATATGAAAGCTATCCAAAAACGTCATAATATGATATTGTTTTGATTAAAATATTTGTGATGAGATGATAACATCAATTTATCAATTTATTAATATTAATTAGCTAATTTGGATATAACTATACCATTGGTGTCATAGTAATGATAGAAAATAATTCTATTTCATCTTGGTGGCATGAAAGTTATTAAGATATGTCATAACGTGATATTATGAATAGTTGTTATGAGATGATAAACTCGAATTTATTAATTAATGAATATTAATTAGCTAATTGGCAAATTGCGGTATTTCCCCAAAGTAAATTTTGGCGGATTTTGGATTTATCGCACAGAATAAAGTTCTGCTTCTAATGATACCAAATACGACATGGTAATATTTTTTTCCGGGTCCAGTGTTCCAACTACCAGACTATAAGTTTTGGCGACTGGTCCGATATTGCTAATTAAACATTAAACACGTTCGGTGCTTTTTCATTTCACGGGTAAACTACCCATAGTGGGTTTAGATATCAGTGTGTGGATTTTAAATTTTTTGATACATGCACAATGCATGCTGTAACCAATAACTATTCTTCTTTCAAGTTCTCTGAACTTCTTTCCTTGTTGTAATAAGGCCTAACATGGCCTCGCGATTAGGGCGCTCGACTCACAATCTGCGGGTCTCGGGTTCAAATCCCCGTCATCAAACATGCAAGCCCTTTCAGCCGTGAGGGCATTATACTATTACGGACAATCCTACTATTCGTTGGGAAAATAGTAGCCAAAGAGTTGCTGATAGGTGGTGTTGACTATCTGTCTTCCCTCTAGTTTATCACTGCTAAATAAGAGACGGCTAGCGCAGATAACCCTCGAGTAGCTTTGCGTGAAATTCAAAAACAAAGAACCTCGTGGTTTCTTTACTCCAGCTATCTGCAGTAGTTACTGGCCTTATATGTGAGACTCGCATATAAATTCTTTCAGAGTAGGTATATTACTGGTTGGAGGAGTGCCGTCTTACTGTCCTGATTACACTAAGTAATCAACCTTATGTTACATAAGATAAAATACTTAAAGAAATAACTACTGAGG